GAGAGAGAGAGAGAGAGAGAGAGAGAGAGAGAGAGAGAGAGAGAGAGAGAGAGAGAGAGAGAGATGAGGGATCGATTGATCGAATACCTTAGGACGGTGAATGATGTCATCAGCGAGCCATCGCTATCGGGATCGCGAGCGGGGGAGGTGGATAGGTTGGTAAGAGACATCACAGACTTGTGTCTGAATCTGGACGATGACGAAGACGTGTCATTCGCCACCTCCGTCCTCTTCGATGAAGACGAAGATCTGGGTATTTTGTCCTCTCTCACCTCTCCTAGGATGGCTATGGAGAAGAATCAAACCATGGCCAAAGCTCGCGAGCATTGCCTACAGCTTGTTGCCCAGTTTGCGGAGAAAGTCGGTGGACCTCGTATGGCTCCCTACACGCCATCGCTCGTGGTAAGATCAAGTGTTTTTTTTTTTTTTTTTTTTTCCTCGTGATCTTTTTTTTTTTTCGCTTTTCGCTTTTGATCTCGCAATCTCTTGTTGATGACTTTTTTTTTTTTTTTTTTTTTTTTGAAGTGTTTGCCCTTGTTGACGACCTTAAAATGAGCTTCCTCGAAGACATGCATATGAAATATGTTGTTTTGCTCTTATACTTGATGTTATCTATCTATTCTTCTTCTTCTTCTTTTTTTTTTTTTGGTCATTATCTACTTGCTCCACTATCCAACAGTCGACACGTACGTGGACCGTTTATGGACCGGATACATTCGAGATACATTCCGGAAGCATTCCGACCGATCGAGCATTTTGAATGTATCTGGACCATCTTTCCTGCTGAAGATGCATTCAGGATGTTATGCAGTGAAGTGAGACCTTTTCCATCCGACGACTTTCCGAGTCCTTCTGTTCAATGAATACAGATCTTTAATTTTTAAAAGTTTTTAATCATTTTTTTTTCCCCTTAATGTTTTCGATCTAAAGAATAAGGAATGTATTTATACATCATGTATAGTATTGTATACACAGTCTGATCTCCATAGCTCGTATCTATAGATCTGATGTCTATAGCATGGAGCTATTCCATGTATACGTACATGAATCTACATGAAGTGAGACCCTTTCTAGAATATCCTATAGCACGCAGCTACCTCCATGTATACGTACATGAATCCCTTCAATATCTACATGTATATATATTATATACTGTCTACCAAATACACATGATGTATATATATGTTTATTGTGGTCATGCACATGACGTGGATCCCCGGAAATGAAGATGAGTTAATGGACCGATTAAAATCAATGATGATGGTAATTACTAATTAATGATGATGGTGATGGTTAATGATGATGGTGACGATTAATGATGTAATGATTAATGAGGTGACCATGATTATTAATGACGATTAATGATGATTAATGCTAATAATTGATAATGATTGATTGTTTGTGATGATTAGTCATGCTGACGAACATGGGTTTTGACCAAGAATTGATTATTTAGTAATTCTGATTAATAATTAATGAGGTCATCATCAATTCTGATTGATGGCGATTACCCATGGGGACGAAGATGGGTATTGACGAGGACGACCCTAGGAGTCGATCGATTCCGCGAATAGAACGTCCGTTCATTATATCGGTGTATCTAGCCTGATAGTTGACCTGAATACAGGCATAATGACCGTGCGTTATATTCCGGGGGAAGACGGCACGGATCCTGCAGCCAGGAGTCGATCGATTCAGTCGGGATCTCGCGTTGAATAGATTGTATTTAAAATGATTTAAAATTTAATGAATACCTGGCAAAAGATAATTCGAAGAAACTTTGTTGAAAACGTTTTTGAAGTTCTGAACCAGAGTCGGTAATAGATTGTATTTAATTTAAAATGATTTAAAATTTATTTTTGACTATAATAATTTTAATTGCCATATTTACGATCTCTCAGTGAATGTCCCGCATGTGTGCAAAACTTTGCAAACAAGGACCGATGCGCATCCGGACCCAGACACCTCTCTACCATTCCGGCAGCGTAGGAATCGATCCGGATCCGGATCGGGATCGGGACCTAACTACAAATTCTGCATGGCAGGAAGAGATCGATCCAGGCATCACTACCAATCATGCAGACCAGAAATCAATCGATATATCTCTCTCTCTCAAAAAAAAAAAAAAAAARAGAAAAAAAAAGAAATCAATCGATCGATCGATCCAGACCTCACTCCCAAACCTGCAGCCCCGGAATCAATCAACCCGACCTCCAAAAAAAAAAAAAAGAAAAAAAAAAAAATCCATCCCGACCTGACTTATATCTTTGCCAATCTTTACCAAAGCCTGACTAATTAGGATCAATCAAAGTGAGGTCTTCCGGATCGATCCCTGATCTGCAGGGTTTTACCAGTCTGATGATCATGTCCGTTTGGGAGGTTGGTGAAGATGATGGCGATGGCGGATGGCGGCGACGGAGATGGTAGCGGGGTTTGTAAGATATGACACGAGGGTGACCCATCGACAAGGACCGCACGAACGCGCTCCTCTGTTG